GGACAGTTCACGGGAGGGTGAACCCTCACGTGACTACCGCTGTCCAATCTGTGTTTTGCAGCAAGGATGAATTTGAATATTTTGACTTAGCTAATTCGTTGCAATCCCTCAGTTGTGCCATTTGTCTTCATTTAGATCGCGATATTAGTTTAATCTGGATAACCTGTTTCAAAACTTGATAATTATTAATATGTCCAATATTTCTCATTGCACGCGTAAGCTGCTTTGTTCGGAGTCTGAACTTGGGTGGGTAACCACCCACGTGACAGGCTCCAGCCAATCATCTCCCTCCGCCTGGCGAATACTGTCACAGCTCGAACGGCAATTCCAGATGCTACTCCACGTACATTTCACAAAAATTGACAAGTTTCGCCTAGTTGGCGCGGCATAAATCGCCTTAATTAAAAACTTAAATACCAACGCCTTAGGGCAATTTACCAAGAGAGACGGTTAAAGTAGCGTTTGGCTACTAATTGCCGCCTAGCCACTGACTCGATTTCGATTTCTTTTTATAAGATCCATGGTTACGCAGTCACTCACCCCTCTTCCCTTCCATCAAATCACTTGAGAGGACTTTTGGCTCGCCATATATTTTGTGTGCTCCCATGCCGCACAGACACTATACATTTACAAAGCATTTATGCCTTCTCCGAAATTAGAACCCTGGTCCTTCGGCACAGCAGTCAGCGTCACTAACTACTATTCCGCCTGTGCGCCACATACGTTGCGATGCTGAATAACATTTACGTACATATCACATTTGTTGGTATGTATACAGCATTTGTAAGTTTTGCTTGTAAAGTAGCGTTTCCATTTTACCATTATTTAATTTCAGCTTAGTGTACTGCATTATAATCTAGTAAATAATACTGTATATTGTAGCACACCCATTTGTTTTCCATTTGCCCGGTATTTTGCCTGCCCCCTTGCCGCAAAATCGCTATATCTTTACAAGCATTCATGAATTCTCGTGGGTTCGAACCGAGCCCTTCTGTACGTAATCAGCATCACTAACCAGTACTCCACTAACATCACTGCCCCGTCTGGGGGGGGCAATATCCTACGTAAATCTTCAAATTCAAGTGTATTATCCTCAGTTCCGAGTAGTAGCCATAACATTTTAAAATACAAAATGAAAGAGGATGATATAAAAAGACACTGAAGAGAACTTCTACAATAATATTTCTTTTTTGTACCGCCCTGGTATTCAATTACATCACAATGTACATATCATGAATGAAATCACATAGTTGTTGTTATACAGCAGATATCATATAGTTATACGGCAGAAGTCACTTAATGTGATCAGGTTAATGTTGTCATTTGCATAATGTTATCGAATTGCCGAAGAGTAGTATAAGCCCCACTATAGTAGGCGGAAGTGACGTCTCTGAAAGGGGCGTGGCCTTAGCCATGTTGGATCACGTGACTACCGTCCGCCATGTTGGATTATGTGACTGCTGTCCGCCATGTTGAATCACGTTACCGTAGTCCGTTTCCCCACGTAGTGTCCCTTTGGAATGACTCATCCTTTTCCCGCCAAGCTTTCCGTCCTGAATCGCCGGGGCATTCATTAATTTTATTCTGTAATTATTTATGAATCATTTAATTAATTATTATTTAATTTAACTAATTAAATTCTGAATCTCGTGGTCCAAAACAAAAACCCCTCAGTTTGGCGTAGATATTTCTGTTGATTTGTGAAGATGAGGCAGAGATCCATCATCTTCAGGAGAAGAAAAAAAGATTTGCAAAATTTTTTCCACCTTAGAAAAAAAAAAAAGCTGAAAGGTTTCAGATTCTAACGGTCACCCAAAAGGGTTTGTTAAAGTTTTTTATGCTCTCGCTGAGTAAACCAGCCCACCTGTCTATTGTTATACTCACTTCTACTAACCCATTCTTTTTTTTATCTTTTTAGCTTTATTATTAAGCATCATTTTCTCCCTTTCGCCATATACAACTCAATAGAGAAATTACAAAAATTTCAAAAGAGACATAGCAGTATACGCTTAGAATTCCCGATGCAGCTTTAAGATTTGGCATACACTTTTTTTTTCAGACTTTTTCAGTTCATCATACCAAGGTTCAGTTTTCTTACTAAAATGGCTTTACAAAACCTTTTTTTTATTATTAATGTTATGTTTTTTATTTATTAAATGTCGCTTCTTTGGCGCTTAAGTTTCGTCCAGACGGAGGCGTAAAGGGCATAAGGGGTTAAAGCCGAGCTCCTTTGCCAAGGCAACCAGTCTGTGCTACGTCACAAAATCTGGTTTAGGGCTCGTGGCATAGGGTTCAAAGTTTTCAACTTTACGCCGAGTTTGGGATAAGCGTCGACCAATCAGAGCGAAGCTAAACGAAGCGGCGTTACAGAAGATTCGCTGTCACAAACAAGCAGAGCGAACGCGGGAAATTAATCGAGCAGGAGAACAGCGCGGGAAAGTTGTAGACACATCCACGCATGCGCAAATTTAGCTTCTCTGATTGGCCACGGCTTACACACCGTTCTCGCAAGTGTGAACGGAATTCCCGTATTTTATGTCCTTATGACTACGCCTCTATGCCCTTTACGCCGCCGTCTGAACACAGCCTTACGTCACAAAAAATTCGATTCAACAGCAAAATCACAAAATATTTAAGAACAGCATATTCTTAGAATTTCCGATAGAGAGTCTCACGCGCTGGAGATAAAACTGTTTTATTCTATGCAGTGCTGCCACTGCTCGGTTTGAAATCTTTGAGTCTGTTAATCAAAAATTCGTTAAAGTTCTACAAAATTGGGGCTTCCAGGTGTTCATATTCGTGTGGAGGACTACGAATTCAAAATTAGGGCTTCCAGGTGTTCATATTCGTGTGGAGGACTACGTATTCAAACTTTGATGCCTCTAGGTACTGTTGTTTTTTCATAATGCGTAAAGCAGGTATACATTTATGCACATTCTTCATTATTTAATTTCTTTAAAATAGTGCATGGCATTAATATTTGAAGGCAACATTTTGAAAAGTGATATACCATTTATAGGGATTAAACCAAAATGCGGTTTCGAGTCTAATATCCCATTCGGAAGTAACGGGCATCTAAATTAACCTTAGGTTGCCTTTTTCCCTAATTTTAAATTTTACATTTCCAAGCTTTCTTTCCGTGAATAAGGGATGTCCTCTAATTGTTAAGATTAGAAGTACCGCAGCGGTCAATTATCTTGCACAAACTTTATGAATCCTTCATAAATGAATGTTTGCATTATGGACATTGTGAATAATTCTTAAACAAACTTTTGAAATTTCCTAATTAAAATGCTGGGAAAGTACCTATTAGCAGTTATTGGTTGTACATATACTAAATTAGTTAAATTCTACTGCTAACCTGAAAGATATTTTTTCTTCATCGTTTGATGCTATAAAAATATCCAGAAAGAAACGAGATCACATTAAGTTAGTGCCTAATGCAGATAAATAGCAATTAACAACTCCTTCAGAAAGACTTTGTACAGGGTGCGACAGTGTTTATAGCGTAATTTCATTTGCGTAGTACAATGACGTACTGCATGGATGCGCGCCAGCTCGTGCCGCATTCGTGTACTAATGAGCTGCCATTTCGAGTATGAGAGTGATATCGATCGGTGCAGTGCACAGTTTTGTGCATTTGCTGTTGAAAGTTATTTTAAGAATAACTACTCTGTTATTGCTACCCAGCGTCTATTTCGGCGAAATTTCAACTTATGACGTCATGGGAAAGTTCCAGATGGGCGGAACATTGCGCAGACTTTCCAGTAAGTAATTTTCCGTTTGGTGACATTTCCTGGCAGCCTCGATCACTAATCTTTATGTGCAGACTTTTCCTTGGGGCAGATGAGCAAAAGTTTTACGAACACGTTGTGCATTATTCTGATTTGGAGGGTCGATCAGAAATGCCGTCGCAATTCCCAGGAATCACTAGTCGGTTGTGGCAGCTTCCAACGCCGCCTAGATGAATGTGTTGTGCAGAGGGCATCATTTGACAGCATTCATATTCAAAAAGTAATCCACGCAATGGAAATGACTTACACATAGTAATCTATCAGGACGGAGATGAAGTGAGAAGTTTAATTAGAAAAAATAATTCGGTGATCAATCCACTGATTGCTATACAAAAAGGCCTTGGCGGCTTGTACGAACTCAAATAATCACATATATACACTACATTCTGATTGTATCAGTCTCAGACTCTTGACCCGAGCAGCAAATTTAAAATTCAAATTGTAAAATGGTGATACAATTGAGGTAGGCATCAATTGAATTTTAATTGGTTAAAACCTATTGTTGTTGGGCAATGAGAGGGTGGATGTCTTATGAGAGGCAACAATGAGAAATGATTGAAAATGTCGATGTACAAGCCTCAGCAGAGCTGCATTACTATGAGGTGACATTGTGATAAATGCGGACCAAGGAAAACTCTGCTAAAACAATATGTTCATGAAGATTTTTGTTCCTAAGGAAAATATGAATTTAACAATGACATTGACTTCAATCAGTTAATAAGGTCATGAGATTTTCTTTCATTTCATTCCATGTCAAGATAATGATTTATGTAAAGTAGTACAAAATAGGAGACAATGTCACTTATTACAGAAGTAAGTAACCAGATGCATTTGATGGAGCGAACATAATTTAGCAGATTTTTTACTAGGGCAAAGAATAGGTATAATTATGAAGATTATGAACAACATAAAAGAAGCCATTGGCATTGTGGGATTCATGTATTTGTATAGTTGTGTGGTGATTTTTGTACTGGCGTAGCCCGTATGTGGTCATAGGGCAAACTTTGTTTTGCAAGGTGGACCGGACTGCGCCCTAACAAAACAAAACATTAGTAAATGGCACACCTTTAAATATTAATTGACATAAGAGGTAAAAAATAAATTAGGGTTACTGCCTTATGATGTGTTTTTAATATCCTACTATGAACGTTGCCGCACCCTGTATATAGCTTATGACTTTTTCCATTAATGGAATAAAATTTTTACCTTCTGCAATATTTTTCGTCACAGCTCCCATCAAATTGACGATATTTACATGATGACCTAATTGTATGAGTATTTTTAGTTCCGCCATGAGGGCTTTTAGTTGGTTGACGTCAGCTTGTTCTGAAAAGATATTACAAACATATTAGATATACATAATTTATAATACACCGCTGCGTCAAAACACAATATAACTAAAAAAAGGCAGAAAGATGTGTTGAGTTTTGCTAAGTAAATAATTAAATTACATGATGCTTTTTATTCTGAGTACCGTATTCCCTCTCATATCCTCCATTTTTACTTCCTTGTACGAAGTAAAAAGGAAGCATTGTAATCGCGAAAAGTTTCAGGCAGCATATTTCAACGAAAATATCCATTTTGACCGCTATCGAATGCAATTTAACGATGTTTTTGCGTGATATCTGTACGTAAGGAACAGAATAAATTACTCTTTTCCTCAAAAAATTATAAAAACTGCTTTAAAATGAATTCTGAAGAGAATTTTTCGTAGCGTCTGTACGAACGTATCTCGCATAACTCAAAAATGAGTAGCCTCAGAACGTTGAAATTTTGTATATAGGACTGCTATAACATGTAGATGTGCACCTCATATTTTGGTCGCAATCGGCCGCACCAAATGTATATAACTATATTTATATAAATATCCACTCTGTTACCCAGCTCCGTGATCTCAGTTTCTTTACTCTTATATCTTTCTAAATTGTATATTTTTGCTTTAAAATGATTGATTATGTTGTTTTTATCTTTCCGGTTCAGGGTTTTTATGCCTTTAGTAAATCTGTATGCAATATTTTAGAATTATCAACAATTTTAAAATTGTTTAAGTGCCGCTAAGCCTAATAATTTTTTTGATGGCGGCCATTGCTTGTTTTCATTTGAAACAGCATGATAGTGGATTTGTTGCCAATCTAGAGAAACTTCGCTTCGCAACAACAAAGATAACACCTTCATTTATTATTGCGAATTAAATCATGCTTAAGCCTTTCAGGAATTTTTTTGGATGAAATAAGTGTTTAAGATTTACTTCGTAATTTTTAATACAGATATTTGGCCCAACAGCGGCCGAGCGGTAAAGTCGCTGAAAACTGGGAGTTCGGTCCGAGGTTCGAATCCCGCGAACGGGCCAGCTGCATGAGTGTTTTCGTGGTTTTCCTCATGTGTAATGTGCATACGAGCCAGTTTCCCTTAGAAAGTCCTCCACGAAGGCACCCTTCCTTTAAGTAGATAGGCTTCGAGGCTTTGCGGTAATTAATAACCTAACCTAATACAGATATTTTGAGATTTTATGTATTTTTGCCTTGTCGCGAAGTGAGAACTGAATTAATTGAATGAGAAATACTCAATCGTCTGTGAAAAACTGTTTCTTTTTTGTTTTGTTTGCTTAATTTCTTTTATACATAGTTCTAGTTTTATTATAGTATTTGAACAGAACATGTGGCAACTATTAGATAATTCTTCAAATGATATAAATTTTGTGCATTCTGAGTTATAATATGAACGAAATATTAAGTGAACCTAGCGCCAGAGTGTCGCTATGCTAAACAAATATAGTGAATTTTAAAGAGTGCATTTATTCTATTGTGGTTTATGCGCTGTCGACGAAGTAGATTTAATTCAATCGAATAAGTTTAAATGAAATGCAAGAAAAAATGCGTATAATTTAATATTCCGCCGTACAAGGAAGTCATGTGGTATACACATCAGATTTTTTTAATTAATTTTACTGTTCGAAAATCGAGAAAAAAATTATGCGAGTAATTTAATTTCAAAAGAGCACGGTTACAGTAAGAACATAACAAATGAAAAGGAATTATGGGTAAGCTATTGGTAACTAAATACTATTTCTCTCAGAGAAACTCACATTCCAATAAGAATACATTATAATATTAACATCGTAATATCTTCCCCATATTTAGCTGATAATTTTACGCTAGTTGAGCCATCGCGAAGTTTGAGTCTGAATTAAATTGTAAAGCCCTGGGGTACCTCACATGTCTCTGGACGAACAAAGCAGAAGAGGGCAAACAGTAAAGATTGAGCACTTCAGGAATAGAGAAGGCCTTCGAAAATGGCCTCAATAACAAACAAAAAGAACAGACATTTTTGTTTTTAACATTGGCAGGAGTAGTGCAGTTAAAAAAAAAAAAAAGTTTGTCATTGGCTGTAATTCTTTTAGTATCATCTGTGATTCGGTCTAGACATGTTGTGTATTTGTAGTTACGTTTGTTTTCGTGTTCATCGTCGGAATTGTGAAAATAAAAGTGTTTTCTTAAAAAAAAAAAAAAAAAAAAACTGGTCTTCAAGTACTGTTTGATATTTTTATACCTACTAAGATCCTCTTGAATTTCGATCCTATGGAAGGAAAAAAGGTAAGACAGGCCTTTTTCCTAAATTTTGAATTTTAGACCTTTTTAATTTTAAACTTTAGGAACTTTCGAAATTTTTTAAATGAAAAATTTAGCTGTAATTTTTTAACAAAGGCTGAAATAAGCTGGAATGTAACAAAAAGAAGTAAGGTGAAATCATGTGTTCCGAATGTTTCTTAAGTATGAACATATTTACCGCATCCGAGTAGCTGCAGTCTTAAGGCCCCTCCTTAGTTTTAACCTGACTTGCTGGTTTAAACCTGACTTTATAATCCCTTAGACCAGGGTTTTTTAAACTGTGGGTCGCGGGACCTGCAGCAGGTTGTCGCCAAAAATTTTAGCAGTTTTGATATTTCTTTAACTTATTATAATAATTTTACAATTACCAAATATTTTTTACACGATGTATCTGAAAATATGTAAAGATAAGACAATACAGAGAAAGAAAAAAACGAAAACATTTCGACGCATTCTTTTTATAATATAAACGTTCATTTTGCTTGCTGACGCTGTCATTTCGTCTCTTACTTATTTAAAATTTTCACATTGTTTTTATGTCTTAAAATTAGAAATTAAAGTTAATGACCCAAAACTGCAATAGTATATTACAATTCAAGTGAAAAAATTGACAGTTTCACTCCCGTGTCTGTCGGATTTGCGCAATAATTATGGAGTCCCACATTTTTTTTGTAAATATTATGGTGTCTTAGGGGTTTTGAAAACATCTCAGTGATAAAAAGGAGTAGCGACTGAAAAAAGTTTAGGAAACCCTGCTTTAGGCTAATCGATTGGAAGAAGCTCATCGATTAGACTCAAAGGATGAAACTCCTTCTCATCGATTGGTCGGAATCTATCTTAAATCACTCGCCAGCAGGTCGAGAGTAATTTACATTATATATTTTCGCTGTTTCTGGGAATATGTCTGGCAGTAGTTTTAAGTTATTATCTAAACAGAGGGAAGGCAGAAAAGGAACGCAATTTTTGCTATTTTTAAAATCACTTGTACTGTCAAACCCTGCACCATGATCTAATTTAAAAGCGAAAAATGTCTTGGATAACGAACGATGCCTAGAGTTACGAACGAGTAAACCGGCAGAATAATTTACAAGTGCACACAAGTATCGCCACTGAGGGATCGGTTTCAAAAGTACAGCTTCTAGTGCTGTTGTGACGCTGAATCTTTGAAACTGTGCATATGAGCGCATGTTGTTATTTACCGTTTATTTTGCATTTGCTTTGCACTTGTAAATGTATGGCGTATAAATGCTGCTATTATCTTAGTAGACAATCTCGTAGTGCTTTCAATTTGTAAGTTTATTTATTCGTCAACATTTTACTTTCACGAAACTTATCACTCACTAATATTCGGATTAATCTTCGTAGCATATTATCACTCTTAATATCGAGAAAATGACTCAAGTTACAATAAACCTTAATATTATGCATTAACTAACACCTATTAAATTGGCAAGTTGATTGTTCTGAGAATGAGTGGTTTGTATTTGTTTGTTCTGTTCTTTCCTTATATATATATATATTTTTTTTTATAACCACTATTTTGATTAGTTTTTATTTTTCTTTCTTCTTATTTTCCTGTTGTGATGTTTTTCCAGTTTTTTCTTTGTTTTCTTTATATTTTTTTCCCCGACTTTAGTGTTTAAAAATTGAAGTTTTTAGGTTTAGTTTTAATTTTACTGCCTGTTGCCGGGACATGGCCGGGTCGCTGGATGCCCTCGTTTGTGGTTTTTGCTTGGCGCAGCCCTTGTTTGTCATAAAATCTTGTCGATTAGGTGGAGGGGGCTGCGCTCATTTCGTACCTATTAAATAAGAGAATTCATGCGTATATATTTTTGTGAGCTGAGTGGAAATAAATATAGGACTATTGAATATGAAAAAATTGTAACTGGAAGTTTTACAATGACTCTAGTATTTTCTTAGCTCGAAGTTTGTGTGCCTTTGAGTTTGAAAACATAAGATTCAGAATATATATTGCGAATGATGACACCTATTGTTAACATATATAGGAATAAATTAAATACATTTATTGTGAATAAGATTAATTATTCTGTTTGAAGAGTATTTCTTGTGCAGGCAAGCATTTAAGCGTGAGCAGTTATTAAGCTCAATTTTAACACAATAAACATGTAGGAATGCAAATTACAAGCTTAATTTGAATAAAACTATGCATTGGGTATTATTATAGAACATTTTCATATACACTGAAAGTAAAAATGCTGATTTCTGCTATTTACATCTATAATTATGTATAATTATGTATAATTATAGATGTAAATAGCAGAAATACTTTTAAAATCCTTGTAATGTTCCTAAAACCCGAAACCGCTTGAAATAATTTCTAAATTAAATAAATTGTGTTATTTTTCAAGAAAATAGACATGGTAATCTTGCTTTTCAAAGGAAATCCAAAATTTGCCATTCTAGAACTTATTAAATAAACTATTTATTATACTCTGTGCTTGCAGTGTACATTAAAAGACCATTATCCTCGTCTACTCTTACATTTTTACATGAAAACTTCCTTCATTTTGTACTATTTAATCTAAGTTTTACTTCTTTACGTGTTTCTCCTAACTAGACTTTGTGCCTAACAGTGGGCGAGCGTTAAAGTCAATGAACACTTTTAGTTCCATCCCTGGTTCGAATCCCGGTAAACGAACTAGCTGCATGGGTGTTTTTGTGGTTTTTCCCATGTATATCGTGTATATGAGCCAGTTTTTCTTAGAAAGTCTTCCAAGAAGCCATCCCTCCCCTTAGGCAGATAGCCCTCGAGTGCTTGGCCATAATGAAATAAACCAATCCAATTTTAGCTAGATTTTAACTAACTCTGGCGAGTTTCCGTTCTTCATAAAATTCAAATTAACTTTAAACACAAACATAAAAATAGTGTAAACTAAAAATGATCGCTAACCCAGTCTGAGTTCCCATAAACTAAACGCATACAATTTTGTGGACATCTATAATATATTTGATCTCATTTCGCACAGAAAATTTTCACAAAGAAATCCACGATGCTTTAATTATTTTGTACAGAAAATTACGCGACGAAACATTTTCAAACATCTTGCTTAAAGTGCGGGAAAGGTCATCTGATATGACAGAAATATTATTTAAAGTCCATTTGTTCATTCTAAAAGCCACTCTTGAACTCCAATGAAAACTCTAATTATGGAACACCACATGAAAATTTTATTGAACGCCCAAAAGATGGCTACATACCATCAACAAGAGAAAAACCTACATAAATTCCTTTCTTTTCAAACAAATTCAAATATCTGTACATTTTACGTGCGAGAGTAATACGTGGCTCTCGTGCTTGCGTTTGAAACAATGCCAACATATTAATATTATTTTAATAACAACTATTTTAACAACTTCATATTATTTTAATATCAATTAAATAATTATATTTAGTCCCGTGATTTCATCACGCATTAAATTTTGGGAAAATTGTTTTGGTTTCGAATACTTCAGATGACGAAATTGTAAGGATCCTAAGTTTTACTAACGTTTATTTTATTTTAAAACTGTACTATCACTTCTTATTTTCTACTTCCGGCAAGAATTAAATGCTCTAATTTGCTTATGCAAATTGTCTTGCTAACGCCCAAGTATTTAAGTTGTGGCTTTTGCCAAGAGAGAGAGAGAGAGAAGGAGATTTAGGAAACAAGCCGCTTGCCACTGCAGTTTTAGAGTTTTCTCGTTGCTGGTTGCCTTAAGGCCAGAGGTTTAGCCTCTTGATATTTGTAAACGTACTGTAGTTTCAGCAGCTCGGCGTACTACATACGTACCCTTTTAAATAAAGGCCAGTCTTAGTGCTAGGCATTTGTATACTAATTCAAAGTTAGCTTTTAGTTAGTAGTTTTATATTCTTACGTTCAGACCACAAGTAGTTGGTCTCTGTATCCCAAAGTTCGAGCTGTACCTGTAAAGTATTGAAAATAAAGGGTTTCGTATACTCTTCCTACTTGTGTTGTCTGTGACACACAAATCTTGAACATAGCTTGAGTAAGCTCCCTGTTCCTAATCAGGACACATCATGTTTCCAAAGTAAATCAAAAGAAACACAAGTTCTGACAAACTAATTGAAGGAACTAATTACGTTTGCGACCCAAGGTTTTGATGCAATTTACATTATGTCATTTAGTTTGAAATTAAATTTTAACCTGCAGAATAGATAACAAATCAGGATTACATGTAGATTTTCCTTACTTCTCTAGACACATTTTAGTTCAGTAATGTCATAGCTTATTAATTAAGAATTTGCATTCCCTTAATGTGGTAGTAATGATGGTGATAATAATAATAATAATAATAGTAGCAATAATAATATACCTTTCAGCATTTTAACTGCTACTGGAGTTGAGGTTTCAAAATCATTTATTCCAAATGCTTCAGCTTTCACGACGCGTCCGAAAGCTCCTTGCCCAACAGTTCGACCTAAGAGAACTTAATTTAATTTTTCTCTAAACAAGATAATTAACGTTAAAAGAAGACGAATCAGTAGAATAATAAAATACATTATTAATAACTATACATTAAATTATTTCAAGTGTAATAATTGAAATAAAAACAATTTGCAAGTTTTGAGATTTAAATCCTACTTTCATACTTTTCCGGTACTTTCCGGGCATTCATATTAAAGCATAAACAAATTATTGGGAACGGATCATCGGGGTTGGAAAACCAAAGCTGAATGTTGGGTAATATACAGGTGCAATTGGTTTGCCATTTTAATTGAAAACATTATTCGACTCCTTAGACAAGTGGAGGCTTACTAATTAATTTTGGTCCATAGATGAATTAAAATTTCGAAATATGGCATCACAAAACAGGATCAAGTAAGCTGCAAAAATATGGATTCAATTTTTCGGAAAAATCTCTTATCAAGAATGGATTCTGTATTACATATTTTTATATTTATTATTTTATATTTATCTGTGTGTAACGGCATGCAGCTTTGTAGCTTACCAAGTTTTAGTTTTTCCTTAGGAAATTCCCATTTTTCATCATAAGGAAGTAGGTCGGCTTGTTCGTCTAAAGACATATTGGGATTATACAGACACATCTGTCCTTCTTGAAATAACCTCGGATTGAAGCCCTCCATCTTAACTTGGATCTTCTGGAAGAGAATTAAGTATCAATTATATTTACATGCCCGATGCTTCATCAAATGATTTGAAATAACTACTGCAGTAGTGTTCAAAAAATATTTTAACTAAAGGCAGCAAGAAATATTGACTTTAACCACCTCACCCTTTCTTCCGAGACAGGTTCGTCGATCTGAAAAATGTCACCAAGCGTCAGCAACGAGACACAAGTTATCAGTTTTAAACGCGGCTTGGAAAGTTACCCCCGAGACACACTCGTCGCAGAATGGTTCTAAACCCCAAAATGAGACAAAAATGAAAAAGAGAAGACCTAATTGATTACGATGTCTTCAGAGCGGGGTTGTATCAGGGCCTTACAAAGCAAAATTCACTTAAAAGACGGGAAATAGAAACGCACTTCCACTTCCCCTTTCAGCTGGCAACACAATGGAAATTACTGCTCGTTTAAAAGCCTGCTTTTAGAAAATCGTGAGACAACGAGGCGGTTCAAGTTGATTTGGTGCTAAATAGGTCTCTACAGCCAGTGAAAGAAGGCAAGAAACATTTCGGTTAAAAACCGATGACAGTTCAGGGATAGAAAATTGATCCCTCGAGATAAAACGTTAGCAAATATTTGAGTTTGGAACGAACTGAATGAAACGAATAGCAAAAAGAATCGAACGAACAATGGGATCGGAACAAAAATTTCAAATAGTTAAGAAATGATAAAAATCAAAGCCCTTTTAACATGGGAGAATAAACATTCTTTTCTCCTTTAAAATGGAGATCTGTTTTCCGTGGGACACTTCCATTAAGAGGAACAAATCTGTTCCTCGAATCAAGAGTTTGCTTGCTCAGTAAAGTGGGCAGTTAATGAATACAAAAATTTCAAATAGTTAAGAAATGATAAAAATCAAAGCCCTTTTAACATGGGAGAATAAACATTCTTTTCTCCTTTAAAATGGGGATCGGTTTTCCTTGGGACACTTCCATTAAGAGTTCTCCTCTCCTCGAATCAAGAGTTCGCTTGCTCAGTAAAGTGGGCAGTTAATGAATAGCAGATCTCTATTCCTGGCACATTAGATAACACAAAAAAATTTCAAAAATTGGATAAAGGTTACGGACACGGATATACTCATATGATCAGTGAAGTCGCAGTCCTGATTTTAAAAATAATTTCCTTGCGAGTTTGATCAACGTGAAGCTCTTCGTACTACTAGTCATTTAAAAAACGCTCAGGACTGCGTACACACACGTATGAAGCCCAACAAATAAAGAGCTCACGGATAAAGCCTGTACGGATCAAAGAATACAGCCACGCATAAAGCTCACAAGCCACGCATAAAGCTCACAAGATCAAAGAATACACTCAGATACAGTCAAAATTAAAATTTCTGCGGAAAACAAGGAATTCGACCAGGAGGCAGGAGAAGAAAAGTTTAGGTGCACAAGCCTGAAAGATAATTTTTGATCCCAGACTCACCAACTGACTTAATACATTATTCTTTAGTAAAATAATGAAATCTGAAACTCTTAGTGAGTTTCAAATGTAAACAAATCGCGACTTCGTTAGACTTAACTCGCCACTTAAACTTTCGAATTGTTTATAATTCTACAACTACTGCATGCAGATTAATTAAAGATATAGAAACCTTATCTGGAACATAAGGGCAACATAATTCAATCACTTTTAAAACACAGAAATAACGTATGAATAAAAACTCTAAACTCATCGAGGGAGGTAACAGAGGGGGAGCATTATATACGTTTGTAAGGCCGATTGTAACGGGAAAAGGAGGTGCGGAGCTACATGTTATAGCAGTCACAAATACAAAATTTCAGCGTTCTACGGCTACTCGTTTTTGAGTGATGCGAGGTACATACATACAGACGTCAGGAAAAAAATCTCTTCTGAATCCATTTCAAATCCATTTTACAATCCTTTCTGGCAAAATCAGTCCTTTATTCTGTCCTTACGTACAGATGTCACGGAAAAATATGGTTCAAACGGATTCAAGTGTGATCGAAATGGACTTATTTTTTTTTTTTTGAAATATGATACCCGAAATTTTTCTCGATTACAGTTCTTCATACAAAGAAGTAAAATTGTACAAACCTGGTTCTGGCAGTGGAAATAATGCGGCAGTGAGAGATTTATGATTGTCGCCGTATTCTCTTACGATGGAAAATTAAAAATACGGAGAATGGGGAAAAGTGTTAAAATCAACTCAACGTTTTATCAACAGGATATTTTACGCCCGATTTGTTTAACAGACGACAGAACACAAAAGAAATTCCGTTTCTTTATCAGAACGGCTTTCAGAGAGGGAAACTTCATCATGACAAAGCAAGAAGTCTAACTTTGAAAAGTACCACAGCATTCCTTGAGAAAAGGAAGACTGATATAGGTACTGCATATATACCTCTTCAACATATTCCTGCGAAGTCCTTGATATTCTCTTATTCACTATTGTACCTTTGGTCTCTTTGAAAGAGTTCTTTCTAGGCGCAAACGCACCATGGTTGATGGAGTCTGAAAGGTAGTGGAAGAGGTGACAGGTGACGGAGGACGGGGACACCTGATGTCTAACAAAGGTAAGCAGGTATATGCCCCTTGCCCTCCACTATCTTCAACCGGCAGCTCCCGATCCCCAAGACAACATAGCAATAGTAATAATAATAATTCAAATGCATGAATCTGATCAATCAATAAACTACTTAATAATAGGAAACTAAAAATAATACCCCTCCGAAATTTAGGAAGATCCTTCTAGCATGTAAGCACGCAGGGAGTACTAGAGGGGGGGCAAGGGGGGGAAACTGTCCCAGGCGCAGAATCCAAGGGCGCCAAACTGATGTTACGGCATTTGAAATTAAATGTTTTCATCTTGGCAAGCGTGGGGGAGCGAAATCTTCAGTTGTTCCTGGGCGCTGAAAACCCTAGCTACGACTCTGAAGTCACGATGCAGACATGTAGTCGGAAAAATAGGCTATTAATAGATCTGCTTTAGAAAATTACTTTTTACATTTTAAACATTGGCCAGAAACGCTCTAATATTCTCCCTTCTGTAACCTCTGTTCTGATCCATGCAAACTGTTCTGTAATTTATATACATATGTACTGAATAATGCATTCTAAAATCTGTAATTTTTATAATTAATAGTTACGCAGTTAGTTTTTTATTAACAATAAAGCATTTTCTTCCTCGTTTCTGCATGCCTTCGTGGTGTAACGGTTAGCACACTGGGCGCGTATT